AAAACGTTTCCTGGGAGGCACAGAAACAATGAGTCATAGAAAGAAATTTTAACAGAACTTTTTAGTTTCCTCCTTGTCTAGGAGACCTAGTTCATACTATCCTGCAGTCCCCACCTATGATAGTAGTTCCTTCTTTGAAACATGAGATCTATCTAAATTATTTTAGACAGCTAAGGGCAAGATAAAAAAAAAACAAAAAACACCTTTCTGTGTCATTTGCATCTACCCACAGGAACTGCTGCCCACTACCTTTCTGACCCCACCCCTACCTGGCTCCCTTTCCCTGCAGCCAGTACCAGCTCCTTCCCTGCTGACCTCCAATCGAACCATGTAGATTCCTACCATGGCCTCCACACTGCTCTTTTTTTCATCTAGGTATTACCTAGAATGGTCTCTTGTATATAATAAGTCAGCATTCAAGAAATATGCATGGAATGAATGAATGAATAACCATTAAATGGGGATACCCATAATGCCATAGGATTCTTGTGGAGTTTAATAAGAAAATATATGTAAAGTGATTAAAATACAAGTATTTGGCACATTGAAAATTACTCAGCTCAATATAATTGCCATACCAAAAAGCCATATTTTGGGGCGGCAAATTTTGCTCCCTTATAGAATCACAATTTTGAAAACATGGATTAATCTTGAATTATGTTAAATGAAATAAGTCAGACAAAGTAAAGACAAATGCTGTATAATCTCCTTTATATGGAATCTAAAAAAGCTGAATTCAAAGAACCTGAGTAGAACTCAAAGAACCCTCCTTGGTCTAGAGGATTTGGGGGAAGGGGATATTGATGTTGCTCAAATGGTCCAGATTTTCTGTTATAACATGAATAGTTTCTGGGGATTTAAGGCACAATGTGACGACTATATTTGACAGTGTGTTTTGTACGCTGGAAATTTGCTCAGAAAATATATCTTAAATTTTCCCAACACAATCGAAAAGTGACAACTATGTGAAGTTTGCTGTTATTGTAGGCCCTAATTTGTGTCCAACTCTTTTATGACCCTGTGGACTATAGCCCACCAGGCTACCCTGTTCATGTGATCTCCCAGGCAAGAATACTGGAGTGGGTTGCCAATACCTTCTCCAGGACATCTTCCCAACCCAGAGATTGAACAAGCATCTCCTGCATTGACAGGCAATTTTTTTTACCACTGAGTCACCAGAAAAGACCACATGAGGTAATAGATCTGTTTGTTAACCTTATAACAGTTATCATCTCACATATTATTATCAAAACATACATTATCTACCTTAAGGAAAATGATGATGTCAATTACATCTTAATAAAACTGGGGGAAAAAAAGTACAAATGGTTAGGTTATGAAGACCAATGGAAAGTGCCTTGAAAAACTGTATCACTGTGCTTTAATTACCAATAACCAACACTTCTATCATTCCTTCATGTTAAATAATGTCTTTATTCACCTACAGGCCCTTCTAATCTTTCCTACAGCAGCAAGGAAACTTAGTGTGCTTGGGGGAAAATGCAATGAACTAAAATCTGTGTCACAATATTGAATTTTTTAGGGACAGATGACTATTCTAAGAATGTGACCATTTGGGTGGACACTTGCTTCGGTACTACTGTTTCAGTATTACCAGTTAGTGTTGTGTTAGTCACTCAGTTGTGTCTGATTCTTTGCATCCCTATGGACTGAAACTCACCAGGCTCCACTATCCATGGCATTCTCCAGGCAAGAATACTGGAGTGAGTAGCCATTCCCTTCTCCAGGAGGTTTTTCCAACCCAGGGATCAAACTCCAGTCTCCTGCATTGCACAGGTATTCTTTATTGCCTTAACTACCACAGAAGACATCAGGGGTACCTAGAAATCCATAAATAGAGAAGAATTATTGTTGCTTGCTTGGATCTGTTGCATAGAATTTCTCCTAAAAACATGTTTTTCTAGTTATTAAAGAACACATTCTTAATGAGACCAGAAATTCATTGAGAGCTAAACTAGATTACATAATTTGTAATGATAGTCTAGCTTCAAAAACTCAGTTTTAAATCATTGAAGGGAAGATAGTCTACACGATCTGAAGGAGAAGCCTTGTTTAAGAAGCTAAAATTATGTCTTGGTTAAACAAAATGTAACTGGAGGGACTTTTGTAACTCTGAAGACTCAGAAAAACCTGACAGAATAACTAATTTGACAGGAATAAGAAGACAGGAACAAGGAAAACGTTATATCCTCAAAATGTGTACCAGAGAAGTCAACAGTGGTGTTAAAAGAACTTGAGTACCAGAAATGCTTGTTTCTTGAATTTAATTAGTGCACAGTGATTAGCAACTAGTTACATGGTTTGAGCTTTGCCTAAAGAATATCCCTCACAAGAAAGAACTTTGGTATCTTAGTATTGGGATCATCACACAAACAAAATATAGAATCCATAAAAATTCATCAGTAGGAGTCCCTTTTTTCAAATTTAGAAATGTTCCAATTTCGGTGGCTTCAGTCTGATGAGCATTCTATCTTTATGGAAAGCAGTGGGGGAAGACAGCAAACCAGCAGGCAGAAGAAAGAGACAAAGAAAGCAAACAAATGTAAAGAAATCCTGTGCACCCCCAAATTGCCAGGTGAGGTTTCTAAATAAATAGGAAAGTACGTGAAGTCTGTCAAGCATAACCTAGCATATGCCTGACACATTTGCTTAACATCCTCTACAATTAATTAGATAACACACTAGATATGTGGTACTTTATACTAGTAAAATAGACAGTATATAACAATTCCAAAATGTTTTCTTGTTGTCCCTCAAATCCACTTCTAAGGATTTCCATAAAGAGACCCTGGACATGAGAAATTATGTAAGCATACAATCATTCATTTTAGAGTTTATGATATAAATAATTGAATATACATTTTTGCATATAAACAGTGCTCTTTCCACTAAGCATCTTTTAATTTCATGGCTGTAGTCATCATCTGCAGTGATTTTGGAGCCTAATGGGACTAAAATGCATCATCAATTCTCTATAATACACATATCTTGTTTTTGCCTCTCTAAAAAGAGAGAAAATTATGAGTCATAATAAGTCTTTACCACCTGAGTCAATCATTGTTCTAAAAAGATATAGTGCAAGTATAAAGTAAGTGCATTTCCCCCACTTTTCATTTCTAATAGTTGTTAGTGGAATCCAAGTATCCCCACAAACTGAATCAAATCTTTGCATTAATCAAAAAGAATTGATTTTAGGTACTGATTTTTAAAAATCTGTTGGCCTTTCATGCATTGTTTTGACATTTCTTCATATCCTTTCATTACTGGAAATATTCCTAAATGACATGGGAAAGCTGAATATTTCAAAAAGGTAGAAACAAAATGAATGATAGGAAGATGTAAATTACTAAGTGGGGAAATCTTTTAATTCACTGGATCTCTGCTTTGACTAGGTAACTAGTCAAAGTGTAAGATGCACAGTGTAAGTGTGCAGCTTAAAATAAACATAATCTGTATTTTTCTTCCTGTCAGATCAATATGTTGACAATAGTGAAGAAATAAAGCTCAAATTTTGCAAATTTTTTTTCACTGTTTTCACAGGGAAAAATGCAGAGCAGAAAATATAATTAACCAAATGTTAGCAAACACTGAGCCAAGGGATGGAAACTTCATAGGTATAAGTCCCAAATGCTACCAGGCAAAATAAAAGGTTAGCTGTTTATTTTTAAGGCATCAGTAGCAAGGACAGAAAGACCTGCTCATTCCAGGTATGTTCTCGAGTTTCCAGACTTAAGAATATAGGAGAAAAACTTACCATTAAAAAAATGAGAGATTTATAAACTTAATGGTCAAAAAATATTTTCTTCTCGGAACTGGAAGAATCTGTCTCTAGTATCTATAAGATGATTGTTTAATTATTTACTTTTAATTTAGATTCACAGGAAAGCCTTTATTCTTCATCATTAAGGAAGTATATATATACATTTTAGTCTTTTTTCTAAAATTTTATTTACAAAAGAATTTAGATACCACTCTATAAATAGCAATATGTGCAAACAATTCTGTGTAAATCATATGCCAATATATACTTAAAGAAAATCTGTCACCAATATTCTAATTGTTATATCAACAGAGACGTGCATATATGCAGACACGACACATGCAAATACATACACCAAGGAGGAGACTATATTTATCAGAAGTGTTTATTATACCTCATCCCATTTTCTTTTTTTCTTTGTTTTAATATGAAAGCCAATATAAAGTCAAAGAAATGAAAATGAGTGTGTTAAATTCTGTTGTTTTCATTTCTTTGTATCATTTTTCTTTGACTGGTCAAGGGATTCATCCCCTGGCACCAGGGTGCTGCAGAGATCGGTAATGAGTACTGTGGCAAAGCAACAGCGCATTTCTATAGTAAAGGTCAATAATACTTATTTCATGTCTACAGAATGCTGAAGGAAACTTAGATTAGGACAGTAACATAGTAATTTTCATTATGAATAGTTGCTGATATGCTCTAGAACAAATAGAAAATCTTTTTAAACCTACATTATCTGAGCTGTTTTTGAGAAACATTAACAATGGTAACACTTTTTTGTGTCCAAATAAGTACTTCTAGAGATGGAAAATGCCTAATCCTGTAACTGACAGCCAGGTCTGTCAAACATTGGTGTCTCTTCTATGGTATTTTGAACATAGAATGAGACATTCATCTAATTATACCTCCATAGATAAGAAAGCAAAAATCTAGAAAAATGAAAAACTCATAAACTTTTATATACATCATGATGACATGCAGACTTAGATAAAACTTTTTCAATATGTATTACAGTTTTTTTTGTTTGTTTTTATTTTTCCAGGTAGGTAACAATGTTCCTTCAAAAAGTAGGTATATGATTGGGTAATTTTCTGAGTATAAAATGACATTTACACAAAGAGACTGTGTTCTCCTTTGCAGATATTTTGCACATGTCCATATGTTCATCTATAGTTTTCCTGATCACTTTGTCAAAAATTTAGATAATAAAAATTAAAGTATGGAAAAAGAATATTGCTCCTCTGTGACTGCATTCATTTTCTTGGGGATTACCAGTAATCTGGGAGGGAAAGTGACCTTATTTGCCATGTTACTTGTTTATCTTATTAATCTTCTGAGAAATCTTGGAGTGATAATTTTGATTAGAATGGATCCCCAGCTGCAAACACCAATGTACCTTTTCCTCAGCCACCTCTCCTTCTGTGACCTCAGCTATTTCACAACAATCGGATCTAAGATGCTGGTTGACCTCTTAGCCAAGAACAAACCAATCCCCTTCTATGGCTGTGCCCTACAGTTCTTGATTGCCTGTACCTTTGCAGATTCTGAGTGTCTCCTGCTGGCAGTGATGGCCTATGACCAGTACAAAGCCATCAGCAGCCCCTTGCTCTATGCGGTCAGCATGTCCAGCAGGTTGTGCTCCCTGCTCATGGCTGGGGTTTACTTGGTGGGGATGACAGCTGCTCTGATACACATGACATTAGCATTCTGCTTATGTTTCTGTGGGGCAAATGAGATTAACCACTTCTGTGACTTACCTCCACTCTACCTTCTTTCCTGCTCTGATACACAGGTCAGTGAATTGACAGTGTTTATTGTTTTTGGAGTTATTGAATTGAGCTTGATTTCAGGAGCTCTTGTCTCTTACTATTATATCATCGTAGCAGCCTCAAAGATCCATTCTGCTGAGGGGAGGTTCAAAGCTTTCTCCATCTGTGCCTCCCACCTAACTGCTGTGGCAATTTTCCAGGGAACTCTGCTTTTTATGTACTTCAGGCCAAGTTCAATCTACTCTTTAGATCAAGACAAAATGACATCATTGTTTTACACCCTTATGATTCCCATGTTAAACATTATGATTTATAGCCTATGGAACAAGGATGTGAAAAATGCCCTAAAAAACTAAAAAATAAAAGATGATTTCAAATATTTATATCACATATATGCATACACATATAGTAATTATTATTTTTGCAAAATTATATGGTATGATACATGAGAAACATAATTTTATCAAATTATTTAATAAATGAGTATTTATACTAAAGTTCAGCCATAGGACATTGTTACAGTTTTCAAAACTTGTCATGCTTCATTATATGTCTTGACCTTATCTCTGAAACTCTCTCTGTGCAAAACTTGCTGGCTCTTCAAATTCTATCATATTTTTTGTGTGTATCCATTCATTCAAGCATTATTATTTCAAGTATGTTAATATTTATCAACTATTTACTGTTTTTTTGTCTGCCTCTAATTGCTTTACATTTCTTAAAAAATCCATTAGTTTGTACAAAAATGGACCTTATAATTTAGATAAATAAACATTTTTTAACTAACTATGCATACAATTCATAGTAAAGTTTACAACTTTCATTAGTCAAAAAAATAAATAAAAACTNCTTTTGAACTGTGGTGTTGGAGAAGACTCTTGAGAGTCCCTTGGACTGCAAGGAGATCCAACCAGTCCATCCTAAAAGAGATCAGTCCTGGGTGTTCATTGGAAGGACTGATGCTGAAGCTGAAACTCCAGTACTTTGGCCACCTCATATGAAGAGTTGACTCATTGGAAAAGACCCTGATTCTGGGAGGGATTGGGGGCAGAAGGAGAAGGGAATGACAGAGGATGAGATGGCTGAATGGCATCACCGACTCAATGGGCATGAGATGGGCAGGAGTTTGTGGTGGACAGGGAGGCCTGGTGTGCTGCGATTCATGGGGTCACAAAGAGTTGGACACAACTGAGTGACTGAACTGAACTGAACTGAGGGTGAAAAATCTAGGAAGAAATGTCAAAACACAGTATGAAGAAGAAAGGTTTTCCTGAATGGAGATATTAATTGTAAGATCCAAAAATAATTTGGAAAAGGAAAAGATTCTAGAAGATGATTTGATACTTACAGAGGTCTTGAGTTGAGCTGCTGTATGCCTTTTCAGGGGATTTCCAGTGGCTCAGTGGTAAAGAATCTGCCTGCCGATGCAAGAGATGCAGGAGACTTGGATTCAATCCTTGGGTCAGGTAGATCTGCTGGAGTAGGAAATGGCAACTTGCTCCAGTATTCTTGTCTGGAAAATTTCATGTACAGAGGAGCCTGGTAGGCTGTGGTCCCTGGGGTCACAAAGAGTCAGATGCGACTGAACACACAGACACACACATACACACACCTTTTTAGAATTAAGAAATCCAAAATTGAAAGCAATTTAAAGTGCCTTCATAAATTGTATAGTTTTCTTTAATAATTAGCTATCAGCTCCTCCCGTTCTAGGCTCTGATTAAATGTTCCTTTTCATAGTTCACAGACAACCATTTTCTTTAGTCATTCTATTTAATATCATATTGCTTGTGAAATCATGGCCTACGGTATGAGATTGTGAGCAATCTTTGCCCAGGGATTCTGCATTCCATTTGTATTATCCAAAGCACTTACCTACTGTTTGGGACATAAATGGAGAAAGAGAGAGAGAGAGAAAGAAGTAAAGAAAAAGGAAGGAATAAAGAGTAGATAACAATTGTGAGTTTTTATTAGACATCAATAATTAACAAAATCAAAATTAATGAAGATATTGTATGTGGCTTGAATATATGTGTGTATATATATATACATATATATATATAATAAATTTTAAGAAAGAATATAAAATGGTTGGAATACTAGGGTGCTGATCTAGAAAGAAGATACGTATCACACTAGAAGTAAAGAACATTCATCTGTATACATTCTTAATATGTATATATCTTGTTGGTTTCTGCTCTGGAATCTGATGCTAAAGCACTGAATTAGCATGTCTAAACAGTACAGATATATATGAAGAAGCATGTAAAATTCATGCACTTATTTATTACAGTTGTAGAAGTTAAACACCACTGTTTTTTAGAATTTCTAGCTATCATTGTAAAGTGTCTTTGTGCAAAAATGTTTCAGAATGAAATTAAAGCCCAAGCAGATTCTCTGGCTTCCACAGGGGGCATTCGTGAGAAACTGACCTCTTCCACAGAATTAAAATACTGCAGGGTTTTTCACCTGTACTATGTTTCTTCAATTTACATGCAATATTTTAGAACTGTTATTTATGAGCAGAAACATGGTAGAAATCATTTTTTGAGATATATTGTCCAAGAAAAATGGAGTGTTGGTGGATTGCTGCTAATTTAGAGAATATAGATGTGTAATCTGGTTAGGTAATCTCTCTCCTTTTGACTGCCCTATATCAGAGCATCTAAAGATACATTTGATCTACATACTGGTTGTTATTATGAGATCTAGTAGATGTGAAATAAAGGCAAGAATATTTTAACTCCTATAAATGGAATTATAAAATTAAAATTGACTTATTCAATCATCTGTGGGCCTCTCACCCCGATTTACCAGTATCTCCCTGGAAGGAATTTGTACACATAGATGTACCTCAGCCTTTATGACTATCCTAGGGATATGGTAGAGAATCTGCCTGGAATGTGAGAGACTTGGGTTCAATCCCTGGGTCAGGAAGATCCCCTGGAGAAGGGAATGACTACCCACTTCAGTATTCTTGCCTGGAGAATTCTGTGGACAGAGGATCCTGCTGGGCTATAGTCCATGAGTTCACAAAGAGTCTGACATGACTGAGTGACTAACACTTTAGTCCATGAGTTCACAAAGAGTCTGACATGACTGAGTGACTAACACTTTAAGGGTCAACACATCTCCAGATCGTCTGACTCTGACAGACAGTAAGACTTTCATTCAAGAATGTCACAGAAAATTGAAGCCATATAAAACATTTTTCCAGCCACAACAGTATAAAACTAGAATATAATTAGAGAAATAAGTTTAAAAATTTGCAAATGAATGGAGATTAAACATATCCCTGAACAACCAGGCATTCAGAGAAGAAATAAAAAGCTAATTTGAAAAAATATACTGTCACAAATGGAAATTAAAAAATGTCATGCCAAAAATTAGAGGGCAATAACAAGCTAAAGCAAACACAGTTTTTTAAGAGGCAAGTTCGTGGTGAAAAAATGCTTACATTAAGGGAAAAAAAAAAAAAAAACAGAGCTACCTTTTATACACCCAAGGAATTAGGAAAGCAAAACATGCTGTCAAAAGTTAGTAAAAGAAAAAAATAACAAAGATCAGAGTTCAAAGAAATAGAAAAAGGCAATCACCATAAAAGCTGTAGATTTCACCTCAGTTCAGTTCAGTTGCTCAGTCATGGCCGACACTTTGTGACCCATGAGCANGTGGAATATATCTAGATAAAAACTTATGAAATATCTAATGTCTCAAAAATATGAACACTAATTTAGACCGAGAATAGTAATATCATATTGTTTATTTTAAATTCCAAGATATGCTCATTGTGCAAGTTTAATACACAATCTTGAGCAAATTATTATTCCTTTTTAAGTTTTATTTTTCATTGGAAGGTAATTGCTTTACAATGTTGTGTTGGTTTCTGGCATATGATTCTTAAATAACTCAAGAAGTATAACCACTTTTATGCTCAATTGGATATTTATCTTATAAATATAAGGTTGTATATTCCAGTTTTGTGTCTTTAATTTGGGTGTTGCTTTCATATCATATTAACCTGTAGTGATCTCTAATCTCATGATTGATTGCTGAGATAAAGCAGTAAAGTTTCACACAATTCACATACCTTACAGATGACATCCAAATTGAGGATCAAATTGTCAAAATCCTATCCTTTAACTTTTGTCAACAACATACAATGAGACATCTCTAAGCTATGTTATGAGGATAAAGGATATAAAAGATATAATGCATTGTAATAGATCTTTTCTTATTTACAGATTATATTTTTCCAAATGTCAAGAAGAGTTAAACCTTTGATCTCACTCTTTTTTTTTTATGATTTCTGAAGCATTTTAGAAGAGTAAAGAAGAATGGATGGAGAAAATTGCTCTTCCTTGAGTGAATTCATTCTCTTGGGAATTAATAATGACCCTAGAATCAAAGTGACATTTACCACATTTCTGGTTGTTTATCTCATTATTCTTGTTGTAAATCTTGGGATGATCATTTTAATAAAAATGGACTCCCAGCTTCACATGCCAATATACTTTTTCCTTGGTCACCTCTCCTTCAGTGACCTCTGCTAATCCACAGAAATTGGACCCAAGATGTTGATAGACCTCCTTGTCAAGAACAAATCAATCCCCTTTTATGGCTGTGCTCTGCATTCATTGATCTTCTGAACCTTTGTAGATTCTGAGTGTCTCCCACTGGCAGTGATGGCCTGTGACTGATACAAGGCCATCAGCAGCCCCTTGCTCTATGCAGTCAGCATGTCCAGCAGGGTGTGCTCCCTGCTCATGGTTGAGATTTATATGATCAGCATTGTGGATGCTTTAATTAATACAATATTAATATTCCACCTGTGTTTCTGTGAGTCAATGAGGTTAATCATTTTTTCTGCTATGGTCCACCTCTTTCACTATCTTGCACAGACACACAGGTCAATGCGTTAGTGATATGTATCATTTTGGGCTTCACTGAACTGAGTACCCTCTCAGGTCTTTCTGTGTCTTACTGGTACATCATCCTAGCAGTGGTAAAGATCCACTCTGCTGGAGGGAGGTTCAAGGCTTTTTCCACCTGCACCTCCCACCTAAGTGATGTGGCAATTTTCCAGGGAACCCTGCTCTTCATGTATTTCCAGCCAAGTTCATCCTACTCTCTAGATGAAGACAAAATGACCTCCTTGTTTTATACCCTTGTGACTCCCATGTTAACCCCCCTGATTTACAGCTTAAGAAACAAGCATGTGAAAGAGGCTCTGAAGAAGCCTAAAAATAGAAAGCGGTTCCATTGTAAAGTTGTAGGTATATGTTTTTCTCCTACTCTTACACTATGATTTAAGTCAAAATTGTTTTGATTCCTATGGTGTGATCAATAAGTATTT